TTATTATTATTATTATTATTATTATTATTATTACTTAAAATTATAATTATAATTATTATTAGCTACTATTAATTATTATCATTTCTACTGTCATCGCTATGCTACTATACATCTTTTTACTGCTACTGTAGCGGCTACTACCACTGTTACTACTATGCTGCAGTTCACTTCATACTCTTCTCCGAACAGAGCGTGCATACAACAGTGGGCAAATCAATATGTGGCAAACTTACTACGCTCCATAACTACATTAAAGACAACATCTCTAAAAGCGATACTAGCAACTTTTTCTCTATTCCATACTGTTGCCTCATCGATCAATGATTTTACTGTTGCAACCATTGTTTAGCCTTTACCCTCCCCTTCACCAAAAATTTCATCAAGCATCGACGATCCATAAACAAAACAAAGAGCACCATCCCAACAAATGCAATGCACATTCAACCATGCCGCCCAGCAAACCCTGTTGATTTTACACATAAACAGAAAAACGAATTTCACTTCAGAATATTAATTTAAAAAAATCAAAAATCGATATAAAACACGAACACATTTTGACACTAATATAAATATCAATATTAACACTAAACCGTTCCACCAAACAACAAGGTCTTACCTCCACATAAATTGAAACAGGTTATCGGCAACAAAGGTAGCAGCAGAACCATCGCAGCTCCCAAAGGCGGAACTCTTCCACCTAAGAAGGCATGAAGCAGCTTTAAATTTTCAGAGTACTCTTACACTTCCACCTCGGGTATAGCTTCTGAATCATAAACAAAATATTTCTCCGGGAAGGAGGTACTCATGACTACTCAAAAAAAGGACTCCCCAAATGAAAACAATTACAGGAAGGAAATAATTAAAAAGAATCCTGGTACGAAGTACCCACGCAAAAGAAAAGTGAATCCACTTTTAAATGACGTCTTTCTCACAAAGTTCAATAAAGCTCTGTAAAAAGCAACCTAATATAATGCTAAATAGATAACTTCCAGTAGGACCTACTTCGTAAAAACTGAATGAAACGATTTAGAAATTATCACCCACCCCGCAACCTACAAAAATAGTTTAATAAACGGTATCACTCCATAAAAATTATATGCAAGAATCTGCAAATGCACTTCACGCCAACCAAAGCTCACGATAATAACAAACATCTGGTTTTGCAACTCAGAAAAACCGCATCCAAACAAAAAAGCATAATAGTATAGGAAAGAACAGAAGCTTCCTTCCTGCTCCTATAATACAACAATCTGCCAACCCTTCCATTAATATAAAACTCAAATTACAAAAACAAACCTACCTTCAGCTTTCCCATTCAATGGATCATAACCAAATCCCCTGACATTCTCTCATAACGTCTTGAAATATTTTACCGACTGCACGAGACCCTGTACCATAGTAACCATTCTATGATAACTATTGCAACACTCATTCGCAAGCGTCTGACAATATAGTTGTAAAAATATCATGTGCAACCAATACAGTTACCATCACGCGATTTCCTGACCTCGGTTAACAAACAGCTTAAAAACCTCAGTGAACCAACTGTAGTAAATCACTCCGTAACTGTCGATGATATATCAGATTTCACCGCAGAAGCGTTATCAAAAGTCTTTAATCTACTCCTTGTATAAACTTGTGAACGACCTCCAGAAAACCTCGGGAAACAATTCAGTTAACACCTTTCCTGATGAAAATATCGGCAGCAGATGCAGCTAGACGACTTTTTTAATGACCAACTTTTTGTAAAAAGATGAAAAAATATAAATACTATTCTACAAAAAATGTAAATATAAACAGTAAAAAAATCTGAGCCTTCAAAACCAGACTGCAAAACAATAGAAAAAAGTCAATCGGTAATGCCGCAGAGCTACCTCCACTAAAAAACCGTTAATACGAAGTAGTATATAATTAAAGTAAAAAATCATACTGTTCAAAAAGGCCAAGATTTCATAAACAAATCGTTCAAGATTGACAGCTTCAACAATCCACTAATCGACACTTCGAAAAAAAGTAAGATCAATGATGACCCGGAAAGTATGCGTCAGGCAGTAAAGTCTAGCTAAAAGAAGAACTTCCAAACAACGCTCTCATAAATGACTATCAAAGCCGAACGAAATAGGTAAAACATATGTATGCATAAATACAGCAAAATGTCCATCTGTCTACCAAAATGAATAAGTATCCTCAGCACAGAATTTACATAAGACGTCCGAATTGCTAAAATGAATAAGCTTGTACCACAAATACCACGTTTTGAAAAAAAAAGGTTTTTGATTCCAGAACTTGAATAATAATTATAAAACACCAAGAGTTCTTTCACATGCTATTACAAGGATACCGTAAAACAGCATCAGCTAAAACACTCCACCAATAAAGGCAAAAGTCAATCAGGAAAAAACGATTGCTTTTTTGGGTTGGGAAAATAACAAAGTAGAAAAAAAATAAATGTATAAAGAACATAAATAATATAAGAACTGGCGCGAAATATGCAGCAAACCACATAATTTAATTTATTCAGTTTTTTGAAACAAGGAAGGCCAAATGTTTTGCAAGCTGCTCGACGCCAAAATGAAATCGCTGTAATATTTCTGTGCCGTCAAAACAGCAACAATACAGTCTTAAATATCTTTACAATCTTCCTTCTTCTTAGTGTTAACACTGTGTCAAAACCCTGAGTTAACAAGTTAACAGTTCAAATTGTACTGAATGTCGTTCTTCAACAAGCTCAGCACTTTTTAACGGTCTTATAAAGAAACTCATGATCGCGCAACATTTCCTCTGACCCGCAGCCTATCTAACCTGGCAGTTTACAGACGCAAACCTTCACACAAAATGCGGTAGATTATCGGCACCTACGTCCACCTAAGACCTCCAGCATGAACAAAAAAACACAACCCAGGCAGTTTTAAGCTTTAAGAATCTATGATCTAATTTAACGTAGTCAAATTCCCAAGTTCTTTAAACTTCAGATTCCTCAAAAACGAAAAAAAAAAACCAAAACGATTTTCCCACCCTACTCAATGTTAAACCAAGCTGGATTTAAATAGAAGCAAACAATGAACCAACGAGGCAATCTTGACTGGATGCACTAGAAATCCACATTCCCGACAGACCATCCACAAAATCTAAATTCAAACCGGAAATTTAAAGCAAAAGAATAAATTCAAAGGCAAAACGAGAGAAATCCCCAAATCAACAATTGAAAAAAGTACCGCCCAGGAAAGCAGAAAAGGCTGCTTATCAAATTGAAATGAGCAACTAGCAAGCCTACAATACGAAAATTATCAAAGCAAATTCCTACTCAATGTCACAAAAACAAATTAGCGACAAAAAAAAAAGATCCGAAACAAATTCTCACTACATATAAATTTAATACTTCCACTGTCTCTTTCCTAAAGCATTCGGCAGAAACTCGAGAGTTTCTGCAGAAAAAATTTTAAAAATTCAATATTCAAATTGTTTACAACCTCAGCCCCTTTCGATCAAGTATTTTATCAGGAAAATTATTGACGTTCACAATTTCCCCAGCAATGTAGTTGACGCACAAAAAACTTCTGCATCATCTATCTTACTCATACCTCTGATTTTTGGAATGAAATAAATTCTTTTTTCATGTACCAAATATAAAGTTCTCTCCTGTGCCTTATCCATCTAGCAGAATGCTTCTCACATTTCTTTTTATTGTCCATTAACGGCTTCATCCGCTTCCATGCTCTTGTAAACTAATTAATCGGGCGCCATTACACTGCGGTTGTTAACTTCGGGTTCTTTTCCACAAAGAGATTCCTTATGCGCTAGCCTCTCCCTCAATTCACAAAACCATTATCGAAAAACGATTGAATTAGCACAAAGCAATTTCATAACAAACTTTTCCGATAAGTTTTTATCACCCATCACAGTGAATAACTTCTACGCGGAAAAGTCGATTCTATTATGAATATGAGGCAACAACAGACGCACTACATCATATTTCCATAGTAAGTAAGACCATACAATAACGCTCGGACTCTGTTAAATATTAAACTTTCAAAAAAAGAAGAAATCTTCAAAATTTTTTGAAACTGCAAGAGATAAATTAACTGCACTGATGTTATTCAGTAGGAAAGGACGTCAAAAAGTTCTTTTAGAATGAAGTCGCACAGTAGAACAGCGTCAGTGTTCCCTTTTGAACAGCTCCTTACGTAACAACAATTCCAGCAACAAAAATCAAAATAGCGTAAAATTATTATAACTTTTGAACTCAA